GCTCTTCCACCACCTAGGACACCGCTGGCCTCACTTTTCTATTGTAAAAAAGTGGAAGAGAGGAAAAACTTCCCTGTCTGACATAGTCTTCCAAAATACAGGGAGGGGAGAGCGACTGCACCCTTGGGAAACCAGCGGCTGGGAGATGCAGCAGTGTCGCGTGTGCACCCTCCCAGTGACGCGTGTGACGCGTGTGACGCGTGTGACGCGTGTGCGCCCTCCCAGTGACACGGTCGCTGGACTTCACGCTGCCTTCCCTAGGGAAGCTGTGGGACAGGAGCTGTGGCCGTCAGATGGGCTCTCCCTGAGCAGAGCCTGGAGAGCGACTCACATTAGCCAGAGATGCTGATGTTATCCCTTCCTTTCACAGATCCTCTCTCACACTTGGACTGGGCGAAAGAGGAAGAGGCAAGATGAGACCCAAAGGCAGATGGATACCTGTCTCATCCCCACCTCTGAGTGACCTTTGCATCTGTGGGTGGTTTCTCACTTTCTGAGCAGAGGTAGAAACGCCCGAGATGTCTGTTCTACAAGGAACTGTGATTTCCATCGCAATAGTGTCGTGAGTAAATACATCAGCTGGTTTTCAACTGCAATCAGGACTTCGAGTCAGTGCAAGGAGTGGTATTTGAGGGAGGAGGAGAATAGACCTACAGGGATATATTGCACCACAGATGGAGGAAAGAGGTTTGCTGAGATACTTGCGCTGCGCTAGGCGCGTTGGGGAATGCGCTACGGAAAGCTACGCCCCGGGTCCTGGTGCGCGGGACTGGGCTCTACCATGCTAGCCAGGCAGCAGGTTAGCTCTCTTCTTTGTCAGCTTCCTCCTTCTCGTCTTCATCATCTTTTTCCCCCTTGAGTTTGTGGCGAGCAAATTCCTCGATGACAATGTCCTCCTCGCTGGAAAGGAGAGCACAGCGCAGTGAGGTTGGGGAACCAACGCTCCCGCTGCCCCAGCGAGCAGTGCCCGGGGGAGCCAGTGGAAAGGGTAAAATCCCTGCTTGCACCCAAAAAACCACCTGCTCCCACCAGAGGACAGTGCGAGCATCCTGCCGGCGCTCGGCCGGAGGCAGCCCGACAACGCGGTATAGACGTATTCCTCCTCCTGGCAAAGGCACGAGCAGGCAAGTAAAGCCAGTGCAGCGGCAGACGCTTTCTGACCAGAATACACAAAATCAAGGATTGATGGCTCGGGGAAACTCACGGCCCTCGTCTGGCTGCTGTGCGGAGATGGGGGAGAGCTCCGACTTTAGGCATTTCAGACAATGTTTTGCATTGTCAAGAGAAAAAAAAGGGACGGAAAAAAAAATAAAATGGAGACAGATTAGTTACCTCCTTGCAAAAGGGATGACATCAAGGGAGAGCCAGAAAATGAAAAGTTGGAGAAGAAAACGGAAAAAAAGAGTCAGCAACAGAGATTCCAAACGCCTGCGAACGTGAAGCGACTTGGCAAATTCTGCGGGGAGTGATGGCCGGGACCGGCCAAGAGGTTTGTTCCTCGGGAAGTGGAAATGTGCTCGCTGAGCTGAGGAAGTGAGTCTCTGGGGTGAAAGCCCTGGAGCTGCAGAGTGAGTTTCCAGACTCCAAACACCAGTACTCGTGTCCCGTTGCAGGGTGGAACCGGGCACAAAAGCGGTCTTTCGGGCCTTTGCAACTAAGGCATGAACGCAAGGCTGGTCGGAGTCCGCGGCTGCTGCCAGCAATGGGTTTGGCGTGCCGCGGCGCCCGGACAGAAGGAGCCCCAGCCTTGCATTTCGGCTGGAATAAGCCTGTGTCACGGGGGACGAGGAACCTGGCAACGGTGACCGTGCCGGAGATGCCGGCTGCGCGCCGGCGCCCCGCTGGCAGGCTCAGGCCGGGCGGCCTCGGGGCAGACGGTGCCGTAGCTCCGGAGCTGCTGGCCGCAAGGACTCCGCCGGCGCGCTCCCGCTGGGAGAGGCCTGGGTCTGTGCAAGGCGCCGCTTGGTGCACGCTCGTGCCCAGCGTTTGGACGCTCCTGCCTGTGCTAGCTCACGCTACCTGCAGCGTCACGCCGATGTCATGCAGCTTGCTTTGACGCAGGGAGCACAAGATTTTGAGGCCTGGATGTTTTGATCCAAGGACGGCTCCGTAATTCCAAGTGGGAACGGGGCATCACATCCATCTGTGATGGCTCCATACAGTTTATTCGTTAGAGGAAATACTAGTGTAAAGCAGAAGAAAATTTTTCCTTACCTTGGCTTATCTGTAGTCCATTTATAAGCACATCACAGGCAGGCAAGGATTGAAAGAGACACACACGCGCAGGTTAATACAGAAGTGACATTTCAGCAAGCATCTCCTTCATACTTGGACCTTTCTTCTGGAAAGACAGGTCCATTGCAGGAGGCTTTCTGAGGTGTAGGCCGTCGCAGGATGGCCTTTGGGGGCGGTAAGGCAACAAGGCAGTCGTGCGATCGCCTTCTGCCGCGCCTCCGCTCCCCTTTGGGACTGTCCCCTGCCCCCAGCCTCAGCAGGACCCCTCGGAGCGGGGCTTGCCCGCGTTCCCCGCGTTTCTGCGGCGTCACTCACCGTCCGCAGGCTTCGGGTGCATCAGGATGACCGGCAGCTCAACACCGACGTCGCTGGAAGGAAAAGCGCTTCGGTCAGCAAATCAGCCCAGGGCAGCACCGAGCCCCGTGCAGCCACCCGCTTGGTCCACAGCTGCGATAACAGCGTCGGTGCTGCCACGTCCCCCTCCCTGCGCCACGCCGCGCCGCGC